TGATGATATTAAGAAATTGAGTGTTCCTGGCTGTGAGGGTGATGATGCTGCTTTAAAAAAGGATTTATATCATTTGGTAAAATGGGCAAATAAATGGCAGATGGCCTTTAATTATAACAAATGCAAGATCATGCATGTGGGCTATAAATTAAATTTGAGTATAGTTTTGATGGGACTAATCTAACAATGTTATGGTGGAAAAAGGATTTGAGTGGTCTGGTTTGATCAGTTGCTTAAGCCATCCAGGCAGTGTGCTGGTGCTAGAAGTAGGACAAATATGTTTTTAAGTTGTACCTAAAGGAATACTGAATACAAATTTAATTATGAAGGATAAGTTGCTAATTATTCCATATTTGGAGCATTGTGTTCAATCTTTGGGTCTTTATCTTAGGTAGGACATTGAATTGTTCAGAGATGGGCTACTAGGTTGATGCTTAGGATGGAAAGGTTGTCATACATGAGCTGGTTAATTGTTTTCTCTTAATAATGAAGTTAGAGGGGGGTTTAGTTGAGACATTTAAGATTGTTAAGAAAATTTAGTGTCAATGCATCATCTTCTTCAAATTTAATGGTGAGAATAGTAGAATTAAAGGACACAATTTAAATTTGGCAGAGTAGGAGCCACCTTCGGCTAAAAGTTTTATTTTTCTATAAGTGTAATTAGTCTTTGGAATGGGTTACTTTAAGATGTGATAAATTTAAAGGAGTTTAAGGAGAGGCTCAATAAATATTTAATGATAAAGGGCTGGCTTTGAGTGTTTTTTTTACTGTTTTTTAAACATTTAGTTTATCTTAATGGATGGGATGTCCTAGGTGGACCAACAGGTCCTTTGTTGTAATTAAAATTTATGTTATTGGAATAGATAAATCACACTATTAATGTATCACCCATAACAATTAAAGACTTGTGGATCTAGTATATAAAAAGACAGGAGTAGTGATTTGTACTCAACTGAATAAAAGAGAGAAGATTTACTGTGAAAATGAACAAAAATGATTTGCATAGACAGAAAGATATCTTTAAAACACAAGTAATCACCTAAGAGATAGGAGATGACTGTTCTATAACATAAAATGGTCATAATCAGAAATAACAGAGAGAGAAAATTGTGCTGGATCAAAGATAAACTGCATTTTAAAGTGAATTGAGAACTGTTGGTTGTTATTTGAAATAAAAGATAAAAAAAAAGAATGTGAATACAAAAACAAGACTTCACAATGCATTCTGCTTCCTTCAGAGTCGAAACAAGATCTGTTTGAAAGCACAAAACTTCTCTCAAAAATCCACACTTTCTCTTTACAGCTGAACAAGCATAAAATTGGATCACTAGGATCTAGATAATTCCCTGCTTCATGTGGCAGTTAATAACATACTCAAGGTGGTTTTGGGTACAATACCCAGACCTACAGGGATAATTTTTAGAAAGCTTTTTATGCTGCATCTTCTCAAATGCTTTCTGAAAATCCAGCTATACTTAATCCATACCCTTACTCTTATTTACATAAACACTAATTTCTTTAAAGAATTCCAACAAATCAGTAAGAAAAAGTTTTCTCCTAGTGAAACCATGATGACTATCCAACATTTTAAACTTTGTTAAATGACTTTGCAAATCATCTTTAATCAAAACCTTTTCCCACCACTAACATAGGTCTAATATGTCTATAGTCTTTAGCATATCACATAATATGTTAACCTGTTGAGTATTATGAGTTTTGGTTATATTGTTACTTTACTCCTGATATGGTGTTTAAGAATTGTATTAATGTTATAGCACATTGAATCTTATCCTGTTGTATACAATGCTGATAGTATTTAGCTGTTTCACTGTAATGAGTAGATTATGTAGTGTTTTAAGACTTTGAATGTTTAAATTAGTTATAGTTGAACAATACTATACTCAGTATATTCTATTCTGGAAGGTTTATCACTGTCAACCTTTTCACTTTTCCATAAACAGTTGTGGACAATGCTTATTAAAGTCATGTTCAGCTAGCAATACACTACTCACAGCATGAAGCAGAGAAAGATAGAATTAAATTCTACAAAGCATTTATCTTACATCATAGTGTAAAAAACAACAAAAGAAAATCACTAAATATGTAATAAATCATGCTTTAATTCACAAAAATAAATACAATAAGACAAAACAGTAAAATGAAAGATAACATAAAACAAATAAAAAATGGAATACTCATTTTAAAATGTATTATAAATTTGTAAAACGACAATTTGAGATTTTCCACATCTTCATATTCGTCAAATTGTTTTTCCATTCCATTTTAGTTAGATTTATTTAAACATATATATTAGTTTGATTAGTTGCTAATTTAGTGATTTATTTTGTTGTATATATGTTGTTCTGTCATGGCTATATTTTGTAATCTTTATTTAGAACTACAGTTATGCTTATTTCTAGATATTCTTACTGGAGGCAAAATTTTGGAATATCTGTGTTATAGCTGTAAAATGTCATAATAGCTGATTTCTAAGGCTCATTAGCACTACTAAAAATTATTTTTGAAAGATTAGTTTTAGAAACTTTAAATTAACAATTTAAATCTCTAGTCACAGAAGAAGAAAGTTATATTAAATTTTGAACTTATTCCATATTAAAAAAAAAGAATACATAAATTGAAAATGTAAGTATTTGTGTTTTTTTCAACATGAGCACTATATGCAATGAATATTCAAACTAAATAGATAATTCAAGCATTTGAGTAAAAAATTTGTCAAGTGTTATTTGAATTGCACATTGTTCATACATATAAAATATAGATTTCATACTAAAAATTTGTTATTACATTCTATTAGTACTTCAAAATATTTTTCACTACAAGTTTATTTTTTCTAAAGTTGTCTATAAGTTTATATGCTAAGTTTTTCAAAAGTATCTTTTGCTTTTTATGCAGAAATATCTTTTAAAACTTAAAATTATGTTTTTAAATGTTTATCAGTAAGATGAGTAATGATATCTTACATATATTTAAGTCTTTTTTAAATCTTCTGCTATTAATATAGAAACAACTTTATGTATATGTTGTATCGACTTGTGGATACACATGTGGATAAAACAGAAAAATTGTACAAATTAAAAACAGTACAGTAACAAAGGTAGAATGGATGCTACATCTCAAAGAAAGAGATTCATCAGGAGTAGACTTCCTACTTGTTTCTGGTGTTCACATTTATATCGAACAACATGAAATAACAAGAAGAAGAAAACAACTTACAACTCATGCAAGCTAGTACCCAATGGCATATGTAAGCCTGTGAAGATCTTAGGGCTATAATATTTTTGCCCCCCCCACCCCACATACACAACCTTATTAGAAAAAAATAAATGGCCAGAAATGACATTCCATTAAACAACATCAACCAATTAAGAACACCATATAACTGAATAGTAAAATTTTTACTTTTGAATAGTTGACAAATATTTTAATAAACTCACAAAATATAAAATATTCATCTATGTTTATTCATGTTAGAATAAAAAATCTCTTCTGAGTCTTTTGATCTGCAAATATATCAATCACAGTACAGAGATTAAATCCATTTTTCGTACTCATTCAATTGACATCAACAGCCCTTTCAACTGGTCTTGAGAAGTTGTAATTGTCAAGTTCTTAACTAAATTGGGGGGGTCAAATATTGTTGTATTGATCTTGTTCACAGGTTGGCCTTTTGCAAGTTGTATCAGGTGTGCCCCTGGGTCCCAAAAATATAAATTTTGTGTATGTTATAAATGGGCTTATATGAATTATTGAGTTGGAAGTGACTGTCATAAATTAAGCCTTTGTGAACAACATGTATTAATTTTACATGTAGACAAAAAGTGGAACTTTCGTGAGTTGGGGAAGATACCCCACCCTTATGTAAGTTACTGTTTGGTGCAGCAATAACAGAATTGAAAAAATATTTATATGTATTTTTCAAATGAGGATGGAACAGAAAGATTATCCTATTTAAGAAAAACAATAACATATCATGTCTGTGTATATACATATATCATTAAGGACAGTAGTACTAAATAAGTAAGGATCATCATGAAACAACATGGCAGCCATAAAAATCACCCATTTAAAACCAACTTTAAAATGTCTGAATATTAACAATGACTATTTCACAGTACTGGCTGAATAAAACTAAAGCTTATTGTACTTATAAAGCTGCCTAAATCACTATATGCATGTTTATGGAGTGAATAAATATTTCAGTATTTGAATGAATTTTCATCTAAGTAAGTAAGAAAATGACTTTCCCAATCCTTATCACTCTACTTCTATCATAGAACTCTATGTCTGGGGTCCCAAATATTCCTTTATTGTACCGAAAAAAGATATTACTTATATATACATATGAAATGGATGATGCACTACTTTGGGCACGTAATTAGATTTGAGGGTAGGTTGGTAGAGATCCTGATCAGTAAATTGAATCAGGTATCCACGCACCCCACACTTAATATTGTTGGTGAACAAAAATATAGTTAATAAGAAGGAAACAAACAGGTATAATAAAAGATTTATAAAGACAAGTAGGGATCGACATATATATGTAAACTAGCTAGCTATAGCAAATTAGAAAGTTTTAATACTACAAAACAGATCCCTACTTGTCTTTATAAAATTTAATTTTTTTATTACAATTGTATATATATATATTTTTTTTTTAAAGCATATCTTCATTTACTTGTACTAAAGTTTTTAGGTTTTTACCATATCATACTTTATGAATTATATGTATTTACCTTAAAAAATATATTTATATACATATATAAGTAATATAACATTAAAAACTAAGTTATACTAAAACACTAAATTATAGCATCAAGAATGAGATAATCAATAATTCTGTATAAATATTAGGTTTCTTACAAAAACTTTTCACCTCAAACAATGGTTTCTGTGAAAAAATTACTTAAGCTAAACATGCACATTTTAAATGCAATGTATTTACATGTTTTAATAACTTTTGATGAAAACAGCATACTTACTCTCTCTAAATTCCTTTTGACCCAACATAACTGCTGTTGAAAGGGAATTTTACTGCATTACTATCTTCTACTTCTGAGCTATGCAGGGTATCTACTTGCCAAATTTCTTAGGAATTCTGGGAAGATATTAAATGGAGAATAAAAAAAATATTAAAATATTTCAAACATTCAAGTACTTCAAGAATGACTAGGAAATTCTACTAAATCTAGCTTTAGTGGAATAACACATCTTTTGTTGTGATGAAAATAAAAACAAAAGAGGTTACATGTATACATTTTTTTTTTATGATGGTACATGTACAGAAAGTATATAATGTCAATCTTCTACACAGGTTCTGATGCATTTATTTTTCTACTGAAGTACAGACTATATCCTAAAAGCCAAGACACTGGAAAATTGCCAGGAATGACACATCTTTGCTATTTCCCAGCCACAGCGAATTGAAGACAAGAAGCCAACACAAGATGACATCTTGATGCGAAACCTTCCCTGTTTTCAAAGCAAGTGCTAAAAGGGTATTACCCTAAAAAATTTTACAGACGATAACCAAATGAATGAACATAGCCATCTCAAAATTGATTGCAATTACAAAAATGATGTATTTATAACTTTATAGCTACATCATATCTAATATTCTGAAGGGGATTAATTACAATTTAGATGGCAAATGATAAAGATACATGTTAATAATTCAACAATTTTTTAATGGTGTAAATGATGAAACCTAACCTTTATAATAGTTAGATATCAGTTTTGGTTAAATAATATGCACTGAATACTATTCTGTGCTTTCATTTCCACTTCCCTTTTAATAGATCATCTTAACCCATTAACTGCGGCAGGAGCAGCTCAGTTGCCGTTTTCTGACTCACAGATAAAACTGAGTTGCCATCAATCACAATAAAATGGTAATTTTCGTCATTCACATAGAGTTATAGTTATATATGTGCATCTGATGGATATTTACGTCATTCGCAGCTGAGCAATAGAACTTCAATGACGAAAATATCCGTCATCTGCAGTTAATGGGTTAATATATTTGTTAGTAGAGTAATTGTATTTGGATTACTGTTTTATATTTAGACTGTTGAATCCTGAATGAGTTTCATGTATTCAATTCTTTACCCTAACTACTTTATTATTTAGTATGAGTTACAAATATGCTCTATTCAATTCTCCAATGAATGTTAATAATATACACATTTTTTCTGCAGGCAGTGTTTCACTAAATAAGCATTAGAATATTAACTTTTATTTCCTAAATATACTACAAAGTATACAAATATTTTATGAAAAGATTTACAAGCACAAATCCATACAATTTCAATTACTGAAACCAACTACATGGAGGTTATTTTAGTATCATTTAACTTATGTTAAATGTACTGTACAGACACTCAACATATATATTAATTATACTCTTGCCACTTAACCTGAATAAGTTGAAGCTATTTTAATATCATTTAACCTGATTATGTCAGTTATTCTACTATTAGTTACCCAAACTATATTAAAACCATGTTTTTTTCCATTAAAAATGTTAAAGCTATTTTAATGTCATTAAACTTTGTGTTAAAATCATTCTTGTGTTATTTAATCAATCATAATATTTCAATATCATTTAATTTGGTTATGTTACAATTATTCTACTGTTAACTAACCAATTATGTTAAAGCTATTTTAATATAAACTAATTATGTTAAAATTATTCCACTGTTATCTAACCAACTATGTTAAAGCTACTTTGTTATCATTTATCCTATATACTGAACAACTATTCTACTCTAGCTTGTTTTATATTAAAGTTTAAGGTAAGATACTATTATTTAACCATATTATGCTAAAAACTATGCTGTTACTAGTTAACCAAAATTATCTTAGACCTATTCTAATGTCATGAATTCTTGTTCTTTTACGTGCATTCTAATTTTACTTGTACTAAAGTTATAACATCTAACCTACTGTATTTTTTGGTGTATAAGACAAAATCTGCTTGCATCCTATACACCGAAGGTATGAATAATATATATGTATATATATGATATACACAAGCCATGTGTAAATATATTTAAATAGGCATGCATAGTTTAGTTTAATTGAATGTGTTATTTACAACAATAGTATTTTTTTTCTTTTAAAATCATAACTATTTATAATGCTCCCTAAATAATAAAAAAATAAATTACAGTGAAAGCAATGAAAATTTTGTAGGTTTTGAACCAAACTAAATAACAGTTAACCTTTTTTTTGATTTACGGCATTTTCTTATTTTGACGTTTTGAGCTCTTTTGTGTTTAGAACAATATATACTAATTTTTAAAATATCAAATTGTATTTTTGTTCAATAAAAATCTTTCAAATGCAACTGTAGCTTTTTTTCCCCAAAAACTTTGTCTTACTAAAATAAGGTGACATCTTGTTATTACTGAAAA